GGAGACAGTTTGTCTGGAGTGATTTTTTTTTTGAGAGGGGCTCAGCTTCCTTAGCCCCTCATCCACCTGCTTGGTGGATGAAGTTTTCTGTGAATCTGGTGGAGCGGGCAAAAGCCTGAATAGACAGTCAGTCTATGAAAACACACACGCACAAAGACTGTCTGTCTCTCTGTCTGTCTCTCTCTTTCATGCACGCACATGTCCTGCATGTCCTGCGTGTCCAGGTCCGTTGAGATCCACAAACAGGAGTGAAGACCTGCTGTCTTCGCGCAATCTGTTCCGCGTTGCCCGTGTCATTCAACTGCGGAAAAGCGCATGGCTAATTTGCATACGCGAGCAGGATTGGCTGGCTCCACTCGGCAAAAAACAGAACATATTTGTGAATAAAGGTTTTGAATTTTAATACTGGACATGTTGAGCTTAAAAACATTTTAGTGACCATTAGTGAAAAAAAAAATTTTATTTTTAATTTTTTTGACACAATTTAAGACCCGCTTTAAATTTAGCTTTTGAGGCTTTCAGGGGTTCTCATGGGTTAATCGGGGGGTAGAGCCCCCCCCGGACCCCCCCGTATTTCGCACTCTGTTTTTACACAAGTTGAGTTTTAAAATACAGAGATAAATCAGACAAAGACACGTACATATAAAGTTCAAAACAGATTTTGTTTTGGTTATTCAGTATGATTTGTTTCCCCTCTTCTACACCTATAGGGTCAGAGAGGCTTGCTGGGAGAAGAGGGGCCTGCTGGACGTCCAGGTCCCAGGGGAGAAATCGGACTGCCTGGAGTACCCGGAGAAAGAGGACTATCTGGTCTGAAGGTAAAATAAAAATAAGATTGAAAAAATAATAATAATTAATATGAAGTTAAAATTGTATTTTAAATGGACACTGTTTGAAATAAATTACATCTAATGATGATTTAGGGAGAACTTGGCCTGCCTGGAGAAAGGGGAGTTCCTGGAAACAAAGGGATGAAGGGGGCTGGAGGTGACCAAGGCAAGAAAGGTGATCCAGGACCTAAAGGGCAGCCAGTGAGTGCATCATTATTCCTTTTTGCCCTCTTATGTGTTTATACTTGCATGATAGCCATTTAGATGTCAAGAATATCTGTTATTTAAGGATGCCAATAGTGGACGCAGAAAGCAAAAGTAATTAGAAAAGTAAATAGGGTTATTCTTTAAAGATACAACAAAATAAAATATATCAAGGCACAAACCTTTTGAAAGCCAAGATAAAAAAAACAAAAAAAAACAAGGTAGCACCTTAAA